GGGAACAAACCTGGGAGAGAGTGAGAGACAAAGGGAAGCCCCCGGAACTTGAAGTGTCGGCCATGAAAGGCGAGACTCAAGAACTTCCGGTGATGGGATGCAATTGGGCACGTGGGAAGTTAGGAGGCCCTGAAGTCCCCGGTTGCGAACCACTCCCCCTGTTGGCGGAAACGACGAAGAGGTGTCTGGCTTGGGTAGCATACGGGGAGGGCAGCACCTTTCAGGGAATCTGTGATTCCTCTTGAGGTCCAAGGACTGGAACAGAAATCCGACCGACTTTCTTTGCTAACAAGAAATTACGGGCCGGAGTAGAAGCCCAGATGAAGCAGAGGATCTGCTGAACCCGGCCAAAGGCTAGGGGCCGGGCGTTCGGAACTGCATTGGTATCCTGGGTTACGGTGGGAAACCACCCAGAAGGTCGGACCGAGTACAGGCAGCCCAGTAGCTGGAAGCGCTGCTGGAAAAAGCACCATGTCGGCAGCACTAACCTAGCCACCTTAGGGAGGACAGCCTGTTTCTCGTCCTCCTATTTGGGGGGCGGGAAACCCAAGAGCCCCATCCGCGCCCTCGAGTCCCCGGAGGACGGGCGCGAAGCTGATCGGGGTGAAGAAAGGAGCGAAAGAGAAAGGGGTGTCTTCTAGTATGTGTGTAAATTTGTGTTGTACGGGTACTCGGTGCTTATCCCAGCGTCAGGCCAAGTTGGCTGCCACAAGGCAGACCACAGTTAAGCTGAGCACGCTACTGGCTACTAGCTAAACAAGAAAACTCAGCTTAAAGCCTGTAAATCTTAGATAGAACGACACCGGACAGGTTGGTTATTTAAGACAGGGACGCTGTTTATTGCCCCTCCGGTGGTTCATTCAATACCCCACATCGACGTACTCTCGGAGCCCCTCCCACTTGGGCTGTAAACTGCGAAACATGCGCGGAACGAAACAACTCCCCGCGAGCGAGTAGAGAGCGAGCGAGCGCGAAGAAGCCGAGTCAGAAAGCGAGATGATAGCTTGCACACGCCACGGCACGGTCAGGAAAAAGTAGGAGGACAACTCCTGGGAGAGGGAGCAGAAACGCTGCAAGTCACCGAAAAGTTCAAGGCCAAATAGCAAACAAGAGCAGTAACAGGACAACTTAGCTGGGGAGAGGAGGCGAAAACACGCCCATCACCGACCAAGACCAAGCCAACACCAACCTGTCCGATCGAAGTTTCTGCGCAGCCGGCCACAGCTCCTGGAGAACGAGTAAGCCCGCGGCTCCGACTTAGTCGCGAAGCTGCACGCAGCCAGCTGCTTGCAGAGAAATCTTTAGATCAAACATTCCAACCGAAACGCTGTAGGCTACAAGAATGTAGCAACGGTACTCTCGCGCAGCGAGAAGATGAGAGGAACAGATCCTATTACGACACCGGCACATATAGCCGGCGTCACGTGGGTCACAGGTGACTTTGTTGTTATTGGTACTCGAGCTGCGCATGTCATATCCAGTGTAAAGCAGCGCCTCTGGCGGTCAGTAGGGACGAAATAGCACTCTATTTATTTTCCACAGTATTGTTCCAGAACATACGTGTGACTTCTATGGCGGTTCGATTGTAAGATCTCTGCGGTGTGTAAAGCACAAACGGCAGCAGCTTTTCTCCACCTCCAAACAGCCGCCTGCAGGGGGAGCAGGGGGAAAGGAAAAACGGAATGCTGAACTGCTTTTTTCTCAGAAACATCACTACAGCTCAGTAGGCATGCACACACAGGCTGAAGAGGGGGTCATAGTGAGGAAACCCTCTGAGTTGTTGCTTTCCTGACTTTGAGGTCACACACTGTTTTCCTATCTGAACAGCAGCCTATGACACATTCCGATGCATATCCTGAGTGGCCAGACTGAGTCACAGACTTCTTAATAATGTATTATCAGCCGGTTGTTGTCCATCTCTCCAGCTGCCCAGTTATTACAGGCCTCAGGTGCAAAAACAATGGGGATTAAGAGGAAGCAAAGGCAGTATATTAACAGAGTCCGGATGTGTTCAGTTCCTTAATTCCTACTAGAGTGTCCCCCTGAAGAAAGATTACTCCACAACCCCCAGGGGTGGAAACTAAATTAACTAAAACATCAACAGATTTTAAGTATATTTTAGCCCCTTTTTTTGTTAACCTATTTCTTTGTTTTATTAATTCCTGATATGTATTTATTTCTTCGACATTATCTCGATTTTACGAAGTCTTATGTGTGTGCAAATAAAATAAAAGGTGTTTTCAAGTTTGGACCTATCATTCAGTGATCTGTAGCAACTTCAAGGATAAGACGATTAAACTTGGAGCAAGGTTGATAATTCAATTAACATCGTCTTTGCGCAGAAGGTGAGAGATAGTCAGCATACCCAAGCCAAGAGTCATAAGTCCTGTTGTGGAAACAGATAGCCCCCCAGATGATAAGCAGCAGAAGACAGAAGCCACACACCACGCCCAGCACAACATTGACCGAGTCTGAGGGCCTGATTTCGGGGCTGGATGACGGGGATACCCCTGGGAGAGGAAGAAGAAATCATAAGCATGTGAAAATGTAGGAAAAACTCTCCAAATGTAAAGTGTTCAAAATGTAAAGTCGGATCATGGTTAGTTTCCCCAACAAATGTTGATTTTCCAACATGTCAGAGCTATTTGAGGTGAATTAATATGAATAAGTGATTATTGATTCTGAATTGCATATTTTCTGCCATAGCCGTTGATGAATAAAATACACGTAAAAAACGATTTACTACTATTTTAAACTATAGTTTGGAAAATGTAATCCCATATAATTAAATCTGGGCCGATCTAACTGGACTAAAGCTTAAGCCTCAACACAAGCCTCTACATCTTCACAGTATGTTAATGGTTCTGTGAGGCCTACTATAGGCTTCTAAATTAAGTTAAATTCTAACATCTGATTGTTAAATTAAAGTTATTACAATATATTCCCTGAGGAAATCCATCGTTTAGTTTCAGTAGATTTTAATCGAGATCTGAGTAGACTGATCAACAAACATTACACTTCCTAGACTAGAGCAATTCTGCCAGTGAAGCTAAAAATAGAGCAGCAATGTTGTTAAAGTAGGCCTATAATAAAAGATAATATAAGATTGATTTTATTGATCCTAATCAAGGAAATGTTTTCGTCACAGTAGCATGTAAACAAGGCATTGCACATAATGTTAATATAATATAGCATCTAAACTATGTTGGCCAGATTGTAAAGTTGACCATTTCCAGATGAGATAAATTAATAGAGCAGCTTACTGTCGTCTGGCACAAACAGCCAGACTCGTGGGCTGACCATGCCGCTCCCTGCCTGCGTGCACGCAGCCACCTCCACACTGTAGGTTGTGTTGTATTCCTGCACATCTACAAAGACCACGGTGGTGTTTGTGTGGATCTGGAATGACACAAAGCAAAATAACAGAGGGCTACTTAATTGTGTCCAGTGTCAAAATTACATCACTTTGAAAAAAAAAGATTTGAAAGTAAATCATTATCTTTTTGGAGTTTAACCTGTAGGTCACAAGCCAAACAGATGTTAAAAGGTACAGTAAGTCATGTAAACTGAAAGAGAAGTAGATTCTTAATGAACAGACAACACATCCAATGCACGACCAGCATGATAAAGAACATCTTGTACATTTGTGCAACATCTTAAATCCAGGTCAACAACTTTTCATGTCCTCTTTCGTTCAGTGTCTTCCTTTTTTTCTCATTTTCACTTTGCGCTATGACAAACATGAAATGCAAAAATAAAAGTCCCTTTTATCTGTTTCACTTGCAGTAATAAACCTTTCTTGGGAAATCCTGGGGATCTTGGTTTTTTACTAATTATACTATTATCATATATAACGCAACTCTCGTTAAAAAAAAGGGAAGGACTTAGTTCATGTGCTGCAATGGCAGGGAACATGTGACAGACAGAGCGCTGTATTTCACAACACACAGTGGGGTTCCTCTGCGTTACAAATTTGCTGACAGTCCGACTGGGAACCAAGAACCCATGATTAATGGTCTTTCATGTCTGTGGCATCAAGCAGTGGGCAACATGTGGTGAAATGTTTTTACAACAGCAGACTTTCAACACATTTTGGGAAACAACCTCAGATTCCCAAATTAGATGGCAACACCACCATGAAACACGCAAAACAACTTATTCCTCTAATTTAAAGATACTTGGAACTATTTATTTTATTAGTATGTTTAAGGGGCAAGTGGGACAGAGGATACAACAGGTTGTGCACATTTCCAGTCACTATTACATAGTTTGTCAGCAATGATATCACCAACTGACAACGCATAAGGTTATTTGGACCTGTAGTACACATCCCGTTGTATTCATATCCCATTCCCTGTGAGATGACTCAAAGCCACATGCTGAAGAAAGGAAAACAGACTGCCAGCTTTCACACCATCAGCTTCCTTTAACTACGACATAGAAAAGAAGGACAGGAAACTCATTATTGTACCAGAGAGCACTAACGCAGTCAGTATGACAGGACAATTGATGTTTCCAAAAATAAATGTTATCAAAACAAAGTTAAAGGGTGTTTCTAAAAAGAAAAGGCACTTCTCGTAAATAACTTTCCCTGCTTTGTTGATTTTAAAAGGATATAGAAAAACTGTTGAGCAAAGATAATAGGGGAGCTGACCTCTGGTTCAGTAGGCAGGACAAAGGGAGAATCACATATTCACTAAATGCGAGACTCATTCTCTACATATTTGTCCGCATGAGTCATTTTTATCAGGAATGTTCCAAAAACCTCAACGATAACATCACTAACAATAGCATAATTATTGTTCATATTACTTCATATGTATCTGTGCATTTTAACTATACATTACCAGTATAACATGATATATGAAAAGTCATGTTTTGCTTTTCTACTAGTACTATCAATATGACTGCTACATAAACAAGGAAAAACACAATAAAACAAAAATGGATAATCTTTAATAACCGCATTGTCAGCAAGCTCACCTTAGTTACTTGTGGGCCATGTCTGATTATAACATCATAACCACTCAGGATGCCATTTATCTTGTCCTCTGGGGGAGGTTTCCACCGGACTACCAGCCACGACTCATTCATCCGTGCTGTCACATTTCGGGGATAAACTGATGGCACTGAGAGTGTGATAAAAAAATGTCAAACAGAGGGATTAAAGCATTGTCAAGATGTACAAAAAATAAAATAAGGAATTGTCAAACTATAAAACAAAACAAAAAGTAAGCTGACCCTTCATTGAAATCTTTGATTACAGTTTGGTATGTGGTCACTTCCTGGCATAGCGTATCACATCTTTCAACTAAAATATCCCCTGTGTTGGCTTCAGGAAGGAAACTGGGAGCAGCTCCACCCATTAAGAACGTTGTGTTTTCAGTGACACCACTCCTATTTCCTATGTGACCCTTCAGGAAAGTAACAGAGATCTTAGTGGATATGATATTTTTCTAAAGGGGACTCGCTTTGAGCTGAGCAGGTAGTTGTGCAACTACCGTAAATTCCAGTTTAGACATGGTGCTACTGCAAGGAGGATTACATTAAGCACATTTTGGATGGGAAAGTAGGCTAATTACATAGTGCTATGTTCCTGAAACCAACACAGAAATCCGCTACGATGAGAAGGAGGCAGGATCATAACATAGGTTCTTCTTAGAAGTAAACACACAAGGTGGTTTTTAAGGAAGAACAGTCTCCTTTGCAGCCATTTCTCTAAATCTGGTGTTGTATCAGCAACTGGAAAGGAAATTCAACCTGTAAATTGTTCCAAGTTTCCTTAAGTACTCACACACCTCCCTCAATGGTATTGCTCTGGATCCACATGGTGACAGGAGAGCCCCCCACCTCATTGCTGCAGGAAACACTCAGGTTGTACCACGTCATAGCCTTCAGCCCGGGGACCTCGCTCTGGAAAGACGGCACTGTGACGTTGATAAACCTGATGGTCATCACCTCCCCTTTCCTGCGACTCACCTCTCTAACCTAGGATGGAACAAAGAATATTTGAGAACCTATCTGAAGACATTAAACAACAGCATCGTTTGCTCATGTGTGACAGGGCTTACCCTGATGAGGCATGTAGTAATCGGAGAGAAACCATCATGCCCCGGACTCCAGCTCAACAGGAACTTATTGGACTGCCTCTCCGTCACAGTGATATTAGACACAGGCCCAGGAAGCACTGAAAACATCGTAAAGAAATGCTCATTATCTTCCTAACATGGAGGCATATGTTCAGTTGCAGAGCACGAAAACCTCTTGGAATGTTTAACAGCCCCCAAAAGACCTTGAGTTTTACCTTTGATGTTGATGTTTGCTTCTCTGGAGGTGGTGACACCCTTGGAGTTGTAAGCTTCGCAGCTGAACTGAATGTACTTGTCCACACCTGCAAATGAAACATTAGAGAGGACATTGTAGTCAGTCAACTCTGTGGAAAATGAAAAACAACCAATCCTCAAGGTCAAGATAGAGCTAAATGTTTTGATAGTGGTTTCATTGTACTTCAATACTTGGAAAAAAACTTAAATACAATCCAGCCAGACAAATTCTGGTGAGGTTTGTAGTCAAAGTAACCGCATTCTCTCTGTGTCAAAGGCGGATATGGGGAAAAGTGTCATGTCAGCCTCAAAGGAGGAACAAGAGTGAAACTAATAAAGAAAACGACACATTTGGGGATGACTTACCCCTTTATTAAACCCCTAAAGTTCACATGGAAGCAGCTCATGCAGTAAGCTTAAATTGAACCTCTCCAGTGTGATGTACTGAGGATACAATGCTTTTGCTGGGCCTCTTTTTTCCTGGACGCACAATTTCCGTCTTTCATCAGACACATATCTGCCCAGTTACAATAGGACTGATGAATAGTGTCCCTTTTGTGCACTGTCCTCCACTGTCTCTATCTCAGAAACAATTCCACAAAGCTAATCAAAGAACAGCCTGTGAGAGATGTCTGGAAGCAACTTGGGATGTTTTGTTTACATCTGCACAATATCACAATTATCACATCCTCTTTAGTTAGCCTTTGTGCGCTCGAGAGCACTCAAAAACACTGACCACAGTGCGTTTGTTTGCACGAATAGAGCCTTACTTGAAATAGTTTGGGCTGAATCATTTAATCAACCTGAAGGAAATAAAACATCGAAATAAACTTTGTATCACACGCATCAAAACTGCACAACACAACTGATGTTTAAGTTCAAAGAGAAATCTGCAAACGCATCGGTGCCTTTCCAGCCAAGCTGTGCAAATGTCATTACAACATGCCTCATTTACAACTGCATCGCAAACAGACGGTTGGGACAGTGTGGGCACTGAGCATGTTTCACTGTAAATCCAAATGGAACTGGTCATTCTTATATAATCTTTACCAAAAAGCAATGGCGCAGGAAACATTTATTACATTTTCAGAAACCAGCTACAGTTTTACTCTAAAGAAATATTTCCCAATGTTTGAGTCACGCTACCGCTGTCAGGTTATAATATGCTGCATAAAGTCTGTTTTTTTATTTTTATAGTAACGTTAAAATGTTGACAAATGGGCTACTTCTCACAGGGTTTTGTTTTAAGGGAGAACCGCCTGTGTTCGCATGTATTTAGCAGTATTTTCTGAAAACTATCAGTGTATCCAAAATACTGTGCTAATATATGACAACAGTGGAGTGGATTAAGCTTCAGGAACGGCTTTATGCATTGATTCTCTTCCAGGCATCTACAGTAAAGTGTCAATTACATCAGCTCATGGCTCAATAAAAGACACTTTCTTTTTAAGTCGTATCGTTTCTGGTAATGAAAGGAACATAATATGAAAAAGGTCATGCAGTTGCATTTCTGCTTTCACTGTACTTGGCAATAACATCAACATAAAAAACAGTAACGCTGTTGTAAAAAAATGGGTTGGCATCTCAAATGGAAACTTCACAAATTATGGAGGGAGCTCTCCAGCATTCGGAGATAGCTGTTATTCTTTTCATTTTATATTTAGGAAGTTAACAAGTCCACCAACTTAGCCAACAACGTTCCCCCTTTATTGCTGTGTACCACGTCTTCAGTTGTTTTTGTGTATTCGATAGCTAAAGTTCAAAACATGTGTAAACCTTTGTCCTGAGACAGATTAAATAATGCAATGTGGATAAGAAGGATTTCTTTAATCTGAATTAAATCCCCTTCGACATCACTTCTCTTTCAGAAGGCTATAATAGAAATGTTAGGGTACATGCTAACAACTTTCTAAAACAAAACAAACAATCATGCACCACTTCACATGACAAAAGCTCTCTCCTAATACCATGGGATCCAAGCTGTCGTGGCAAAAGGGGCCCTAGACTAGACTTCAAGTGTGCGTGGGGTGCAGAATAGTGGGTTTACACTGTTTTACTGTGCCAATATTTGGTCCTGCACAGAGCTTTGGTGGCCTGCAGCCTGCCAGCCTCTGTGTCCAGCCCCTCCCTGCTGGGTATGGTGGGCAGTCCCGTGAATGAGGTCTTTGTCCCCGGAGCCAACCCCCGAACCGACTCCCTATGCAGCCCCCCTTCCTCTTACCGCCCAGGCCCTTGCACACGCTGGACCAAAGCACGGCTCTAAACCTTTAACCCCACCAGTGTCGGGCTGTATCGCCACTCATACTGCAGTGGGGCTTCTTAGCCAACGGCGAGCAGAAAACTAGAGGTTAGAGAGCCAAAAGGTTATGCTTCGAGTAACAAATGTTTGCTTTGAAGAAGAGAGCAGCCCAGGGCATAAAGGGGAGAGTCCATGTGAAAAAGACAGCTATGTAATTTAAAGATGATTCCATGTTGAACTGACTGTTCAACAATCTTGACTTGTACTTTATGTAGAAAAAACGTTACATAGGTAAGGTAGCTGAAAAAAGTATCTATCGATCATTCAATAAAGCAAAAACTAATATTTTGTGAGCATTTGTTGTTTTTATAGTTTTTCAATGTTTCTATTGAAGTAAAGTATTTCGAACTGTTCAGGTCATAAAAAAAAAAAATGTGATTATGTCAACTGGACTTTGGGAAAATTAGGGTTTGTTCTTTTAGATATATTCTGAAATGTTATGTAACTAACGATGACAATTACTATTATAGTTCCAGCCTTTCTATTTGATTAGACGAGATAGAAAGAAGAGAAGATTGTTACCACTCTCCAGATTCTTCATTTAATATAAGTCTACAGCGAATAAGACTGGAAACAAGTAAAATGGCTAGCCGAGCTATCTTCAAAGGTGTCAAAATCCAAGATCAAAGGTCACTCATTAACACTTTATTTAGTTAATTGTCAATGACCGTTTACGTCTGTCGTGGATATTTTAAACTCGTCAATACTGTAAAGATGTACAATGAGAGTAATCAATAATAAACTGGTGAAAGCAAACAGCGTTGTCTTGTTGGTTATTTATTTGAAGCTTCAAAGGTACAGGTCTCACAGAGTATAGGATAGTCTGCAGGAGTGTGCGCAATAGTCACAGAATGGCAAAGCTTATATACAAGATATAGGGCAGGCAGACAGAGTTTTGTGTAGCTAGGCGGAACGCCTCAGAAATCTGCTTTCACAAAGATGTCTCATATCACTATAGACACCTGTGTCCTTGAGCTGTTTGAGTATAACGGTTATCAGAATATGGAAGTTCAAACTTTGTGTGAAGAGGAGTAGTTTCAACATAGTCTGCCAAATCAGCTCTGTGGCCTTGAAGCGCTTGAGAATAATAACCCTCATTAGAGTATACAGAGAAAAGAGCACATATCAAGAAATTGTACAGTAGTGTTAGACAATGCTTTTAGAAGCATTTGGTTTTACCATATAAGGTAACATAAGAAATTGCCACTACACTTCTTGGCCTCTTTCTGCACTAGCTACCTGGCATCTGGTTGCACCAGAGACAGAGCCAGGCTAGCTGTTTCCCATAGTATCCACTCTTTATGCTAAGCTAAGCTGAATAGCTGCTTGAAACCAGCCAAAAATGTGCTCAACAGACATGAGAGTGGTATCTATCTCCTCATAGCTCTCTGTCAGAGCTGAATATTTTACTTCCCAGAATGTCAGCATTTCCTCTTTTAAGTTGCATTCCATGTGTCACGTTATCTTGAGTTCACAGCTAGTATAGCAGCATTACAAAAAGCAAAGACCACGCATGAATGACAGCAGTTAACCATTCAGGGTGTACCAGGAGGCCCCAGTGATGCTGACCGTGGTGATACATCTCATTGTCGTAAGCAGTGTATAGATGCTGAGGCAGCAGAGCTGAGGCAGAATAGAAACCACCAACAAAGTGAAGCTAGTCGAGTAAGACCTGCTCCACACATTGTCACCATTTTCAGAGGTCCCTTTATCTCTACTGGTGAACCAATTCCACATTGAATCACAGGAGGATGTTATTCAAAGTGAAACTAATCAACTGTTTTAATATCTGTAGAGTGTGCGTGTCCTTTTAGTGGACACTTTTGAAACATATTTAACAAGACAGAGGTCCGTCTAGTTAACTAAACGGCTTCTTTTCTTTTGTCAAATTTAAAACACACAAATAAGTTTTGATCAAAAGCACTTAGAAGGCAGATAAAAAGGACTTTGAAGGAGCATTTTCTAAATCAAATAAAGTATTTCTACTAGAGGTAAATTACTTCCATAGCTCTTCCAAAACATTCAGACTGATAAGGGAATAACATATGAATCATATATTGGCTAATTTCAACTTATTTTTGTCAAATTCAAGCAGTTATTAAGCGTTATGCCAAATTATATTCTAATCTTACCCCAGACAATTTGTTAGGGGAACAGTAAGAAATAACACTTTTCTTTCAAGACCACTTCAACAGAAACAGGCAACAAGAGGGAAGCAGTATAGCTGTTATTCAGTAGATCCCTGTGAAACACTATTTTCTCTGTATGTGTGGAAAAAAAGAGAGACAGTGGAATTTGTGTTGTCTCACCTGACACAGAGTAGCTGCTTGGAGAGTTATGAAAGTCACTATCAGGTAACCCATCACGAAGCCAGCGGATTTGAACAGGGTCTGGAGGTCCGACCGCCTCACATGAAAGTGTGAAAGATTTGCTTCTTGTAACGTTCCGGTCCTCTGGTTGATGGATAAATGTTGGTAAACCTATAGACAGATTAAAAGAGCGTCATGACAAATGTGGACGCCTCAAGAGTAACTAAATGTTGGCACAATGTTGAAACTCACCTTCCACCTCAATGGTGATCGGCTGAGACTGAAATGTTCGGGAGTTGATACTCAGCCTGCAGCGATACTCCCCAGAATCCGCTCGCTGCACATGGACAATGCTGTGATACAGTACATGAAGACATTTGTCAATCTGTGTAATTAGTAGGGCTGCAACTAACAGTTTCATTATAGAACAATTTGAGGAAAAACATCTAGATACATCGTTTTGGCCATTAAATGTAAATAAATTATAAAAAATGTCCATCCAAGTTTCTTAAAGACCAAGGTGATTTCTTTAAATGCCTTTGTTTTGCCCCTTTAAAATCTCAAAATATTCAGTTTAATATGATTAAAACAGATGAGTAAACTTATTTTTCTCGCATTTTTCCATTCAAAATTACTTTAACATTTCACAAATGTTTTAAACGATTGGTGATTATTTTCCCGCCAATGGACTAAAAAAGACTAGTCATTGTGCTTTTAGTAATCAGTCATTGACATTTTTTTTTGTGTTCACATACCTGACAGTGGAGAGTAGCGTGGTGACCCCGTCTGTGGTAGTCTGGAGCTCGTTGATCACCACCTGTACGTTTCCTTCCAGTTCCTGGCCGTTCTTCACCCAGAGGATGGCGGGGTCCAGCCTGGCATCGGGGATGTCGATGGAACAGTTAAATTTAGCCTCATGGCCTTCTGACAGCTGGATGGAGCCTATGGTGGGCTTGAAGTGCAGCCGTCTGAGCTGATCCGGGGTCAGGTAAACCCTTGAAACACGGCCTGGTACCAGAAGAGGCTCAGAGGTCCTGATGGGACGATGGATCCGGCCCCTTGAGTGCTGATCTGTGTGTAGAAGGGGAAGTTATGTCAGCACAATGTTCAACCATGGATTTCAAATGTCGGTGACGGGGTTTGAGCAATAGGCTGTCAGGGTCAGTATGTTGTCTGTGTATATGTGCATGTGCAAACTGTGTACATGTAGTGTAAGTCATGTGTGAATATGCTATAGTCTTTTATCATGTACTATGTTGTGCTTTTTATATATTGTGGAACTGCAGGATGGAGTCCAAAATAAATGTCCTAACAAGGACAATAAAGTGTATCTTATCATATCGTACCAAAAGGTTTTGATAAAAAGCATCAGAGATTTGCCTCCCAAAGTGACAGAACTGAGCATGTGTTACATCTGACACATTTTACAAAACCAGAACTAAACAGAGTATCATTCAAACCTCACAACAGTTACATTACTTTCATGAACAAATTGTCTGTATTACTTACTTACAGAAAATAAAATTGCTTCTTTGATTCAACCAACTGCTAAATCTTCAAATAAATATGATGATATAGAAGAGATGAAGGCAATATATATGAAAAATGTTAACTTCAATTACTTTGTGGACTCTGTGATTAAAGAAGACTTATTTTCTCTCATCACCAATCAATTAATCTGCTGATCTTCAGCACACGTTTTTACTTAGGAAAAGAAAAAGAAATATATTTACTATGAAAATCAATATACTTTATGCATCTAAGAAGGTATGAACAGTTAAATAAGGCCAACAAATGAATGAATATCAACTTAATGTGTTCAAATGCATTTCTGAAGTGACTCTTTACCGTCAGTATGTTTAGTAGTGTGTTTTTTTACTTACACATTCCAGCCTATATCTGAGTGAGCGAGCCACTGTTGTATTACTATAATTTAAAAAATAAGCTCCAGGGGTAGCTACACGTTTAGTATTATGGACACGCTGTTTGCTTTATGTTTTTAGATCGTTACAGGAATTTTCTGTAAGAATAAATTACATTAAAATAGTATACATTCTAAAATTATTTAAGATTTCCGACGGCGGTTATGAAGCTATTTCAAGTATTATGATGTATTCCAGCTGTGGAGAACAGACCCTCTGCACATGGATCGAATTACGCGTGAGATGCCACTTTGACGGACAAGGGAAAATCTCCAAGAAGATAAACAACTCACCGCTGACCGGACTCCCCACAATAATGGCTATTGTCGTGGCAGAGAGAAAGGCTCCAAACCAGCCTGGAGTGGACATATGTGCCATGATGACCTGTCTCAGCTCTTCACTGTTGTTCTCTGTCCTGCAACAGGCTCCAAATTTGTTTTATTCTAAGAGGATTGTTCGGTACCGGACACTACAGCTCCGAGAGTAACCAACATCACCGAGTAGCATGTCTCCAACGCCGCTGCTGTGAAGAGTTGTTGACACGAGAACACGTTCAGCTGGAGGGGGAAAAAAAGTGAACTTTTCCCGACGTCACAGGAGGGGTCCCATGAAGGCGGGACTGAATGTGGAAATGCACATAAAAAAGAAACAACAACAATCCAGCAGTAAAACAGATGCATGCTAAGCACTAAACAAGACTATTTTCGTTTGACAAGAGATGATATGTACATTATTTTCCTAATAATTATTCTCTTTTACTATTCTTAAAGACAGAAATGTTACCTTACATTATCACCTATTGCATCTTACAACAAGCATTATGCACATGCATGTAGCTTAACAATACATAGACCACCACGGTGATATATTTATTTTAAATATCTCCAAAACCTTTAGAAATAGTTTAGGTTCTACGCCCAACTGCTCCACCACGTGGTCAACTACCACTAAGCTTGCGTTGCCTTTCAGTAACAACTAAAAGTCTAAAATGATTGTGGTTGGAAATTAAATGTTCACATAAATGCATCTTGTTCGGTACCAGTTATGTTGGTGAAAAGGCAAGGCAACATATATAGCCTTGACACAAAGCATTCTGTGTCAAGGACATTGAAGGGATAAAATCTTGATCAACTGTGGTGTTGTAAAGGGCAAGACCCTCAACCTGCATGCTCTCATTGATGACACTAAACCAGATTGCATTACTAGGAACGAGTCATGGCTAGATTAAACCATAAAGAACCATATTTCAGGTATTATCTGCAAAAGACATCAGCAATAAAGTCCAAAGTGAGCGCAAATGTGTGTTGTTTACAAGTTATTCATTGTGCAATACCATCATTTCCCACAGTCAAGTTTCCCTGATGGTAGTAGCCTATGTTGTAAACTCCTGGAACACATCATCTGTAAAGTAGGCTACTGCTGAATCACCTGGAAAAGCATTATATCCTGACCACGTTCCAGCATGGATTTTGACAAAACCATTTGTGTAAAACTCAACCCCTTGTTGTCACAATGTATGACCTGGCAAAATATCATGACCAGACAATTAAAATCCATGTGACCATCTTTGATTACTCAAAAGGCCTTCAACACGGTCCCACATAAGCACCTGTTGCAGAAGCTGGCCTACATGGGTATAACTGGCTGAATACTAAACTGGACCACAACTTTTTAACCACTTGCAAAGAAGCCAACAAGTGGTTGTAGAATGGGTGAAATCAAGAACCGTTCACATTGACGCTGGTGTCCCACAAGGCACTGTGCTAGATCCATTGCTCTTCCTATATCAATGACCTGCCGTCACGTGTGGCATCCACTGTCGGTTATTGGCGGATGACTGCTTGCTCTACAGGCCTAGAAGAGCTACAGGGTGACCTGACAATGATCCAGGAATGGACTAACACTTGGGGAATGTGCTTTAAATTAATGCTTTAAATTAATGCTCTGTAAGTGCTACATATTACGTACTTAAAGATCAACAAACCAAGGCAAGGCAAGGCAAGGCAAGGCAAGTTTATTTATATAGCACCTTTCAACACAAGGCAATTCAAAGTGCTTTACAAAAATTGAAAGATATTAAGAAACATATTATAAAATGGCATTTAAAAACACTTATTTAAAAGCGAAGATGATTAAACATGAATAACAAAAAGGTACATTCATAAAAGTCACAGCTGTGTGAGAGATACACATCTGACATGTTTAGCTCTGACTCTCAATCATTACTCACTTTTTAACAGACAGTTTTTATGACTTCACTTTCTTTCTACTTTCTTGATTAACTTATCCTTTAGTTATTTCAAGTGTTTCATGCTAAACGAACCCCCCTTTGGAACATTATAATCTGACCCCATGGTACCTTTTAGTTTTCCCCAAAACTATTCCTCTTTAATAGAAAGGAACACAATCTTAGTCAGGAACAGATTTTCCTAAATCTGCAGCCCTATTTAACTCAAATACAGTTTTCTTTGTATTTGCACAATTTTTCTGTAAAAAGAGTTCAAATACATGTTGCTTTTACTTCAATGCGACCTTAACTGCTGGATTTGTACTTGTAACAGATGCCTATTATCACATGATGGACGATATGAAGGCTGCGGAGGGAGAGCTAATATTTCATTTACTTTGTTTGTTATTTACTGGCTGTGTTTGTTTTCTTTTCCACTTTCTCCGTATATTGTTTTTCCTTCCGTCTCTGTGGAATAGTTTAATTATGGACTTTTAAAACCGAACTAGAACCGGACTACAGTTCTTCCTCCCCTCCCTTGAGTTATCGCTGAGCTCTCTGTGTGAGAACACCAACGGGCTGGACTGAACATCCTCCTCTGTGCGTTGCCTCCTTCACTGGCGGCTGGTTGCATTTACCTGTTGTTTCTTGTGGGCTCCGATTCATCCGCCACTCTCCAGGCGGCCTCCTCCTCCTCCTTCCCAGAGTCAAACTGTCNATATCCAAAGTTATCTTGTTGCAGGTTTGGATAGAACAATTGAATTAGAAAATACAAAAATCTGAAAAAAAGTTGTTATGGTTTCACTGGTAAGTAAGGGCTCGTGTGTGTGTGTGTGTGTGTGTGTGTGTGTGTGTGTGTGTGTGTGTGTGTGTGTGTGTGTGTGTGTGTGTGTGTGTGTAGCCATGAATGTTCATGTGTTATCAGTAAACAGGCAGACCTGACGTCTGGCTGCTCGGCCGTCTCAGTCTGTTCTGAGGTCTGCTGTGCAGAGAGATTGACAGGCCTGTACGTCAGCACCCATATTTCTCACCTAAGATTCATACTGACTCTGTTTGGCGTCTCATGAAGGCTGCAGGCAGCTCCCGCCTGGCCCCCCAGCCAATCCCCAAATTCTTTGAGCTCAATGTGGAGCTCTCTTTCCATCTCATTTTTAAAAGCATTTTTTCCCTAAGGCACCAAATTGATTCATATCAACTCGTACGAATTAAGGTAAAGCTTCATCTCACTGACTCTGTTTTGCTGCATCAGTGGGGTTTTTTCACTAGCTTCCTTTAACACTGAATGGAACAGAACAAAAGTTGGTAATCATTTATTATTTTTACATGACAAATGCCACTTTTGTCAGTTTTCTACATTGTAATTGGGTTCTTCTGAGTAGATTTAATGTGTACTTTTCACCACTCTTGCCCAATTTTAAATCATGTTTTTAAATAGTATTGAAATAAAAGAGTAATATTCTTTGTCAGATTTGTCAGGTTTGGGGTAAATTCAATCAGGGGCATACGAAAAAGCACAAGCATCAAACCTGAACAAATTAATTAAATATATATTCTGTTGTATTAAGATAATTTCCTCTTGGTGTGTCCATGTGTAATGCTTGCACAAGGAGCAGAGTCAAACAGTCAATCATCAGCGCCTCACTGTATACACACCGTACAGCGTCACACGAGACACACACTGACAGACTGTGTGACATCACTCAGCCGTGAGTAATGACCCGACTGTGTTTGGCGCTTAAAAGGCTTACGTTTGGTCTGACGTCATTGGCGTCTCAGCTGGGAGATCAGCATGTGTGTTTTCAGCGAGCAGAGCTGAAGCATCCAATAGCACTGAGGGATGGGGTTTCACTTCTGTGAAGCCAGTCGAACTCATCAGTGTGTGTGTGTGTGTGTGTGTGTGTGTGTGTGTGTGTGTGTGTGTGTGTGTGTGTGTGTGTGTGTGTGTGTGTGTGTGTGTGTGCGTGCGTGTGTGTGTGCGTGCGTGTGTGCGTGCGCGTGCGCGCGCGTGCATGATTGAGATCAGAGTGATGGTTAGATGCAGAGGGGGAAGAAGTAATGCAGATCTTTAAATTAAGTAAAGTAGAAATACCACACTATATACTCTGTCATATATAAAGTCCTGCATTCAAATTATTCCAAATGTAATTAAGAACAATATATGGTTAAATTATTAAAAGCAAAAATGAGTCATTGTGCAGCATTTATTATATAGATATATAAAAATGTATCACTGTAATATATTAAGTAATGTGTCATTAAAGTTGCAGCTGGGTTATACCTATGAGGCTATTTTTACTATATACTGCTGGGGAGCTGAATCTTTAATATATTAGAGTGTGTTAGCTGATTATATCTGTTTTTATCAATCTGCATTTGCAATGTAATTTTCACTAAAATATCCAAAAATGTGGGACGAAAATAAATGTTTTTTCCACCAAACTGTAGAGGAGTTTAGCGTAGCATAGAATGTATATTACCCAAGTAAAGTACCTTAAATCAGTACTTAAGTAAATGTATTCCGTTTACATTCCCCCAGTGGTTTGATGTGGAGCTGTTGAGGTCATGGCTTGTGTCTCTGGCTTGCGTCATCACCTATAGGATGTGACTCCTGCCAGCTAGGCTGCTGCTACTGCTCTCATCTGTTCTAACGGCGTCGGAGACAAAAATATAGTAAATGTGAATTATGTTGTAGCCTGCTTGATGAAAATCTTCTAACCGTCAGAAAAAACGACTGATAAGAAAGATATGATAAATATAGGACAGTATTTGCAGCTGCCTCTTTGTTTCTCATGCACATGCCCCTCACTCATGCGCACATCTGAGGAGACACATCTGACCTCCTGTTTGCATGCAGTTTTACAAGATTGCACAGTGAAGCGTTTCACACGGCCGGTGACGTCAGCCAAGTGTTTCAGCGCTGTTCATTTTTTTATTTATTTTTTTCTCTACCTTTTACAGACCTCTGACCGCATGCTTATCCTCAGAGCCATCCTCCAGAATAACTGATGTGATAATCTAGGTTAGAAGAGGTGCCAACCGAAAACACTGCTCACTAATCTACATCTTGTGTGTGTGTTGGTGAATAAATATTGGACTGTGTGTCATATTTTTATAAACAGACTTCATATTTAAGTAATATAATACATTTTACATTTTGAAACCTAAAATAGTTAATATATAATGTTCTCTAACAAATTGTACATAATTGTTATACAGTAATCAAAATGTGTGTTTAATTAAGAACATCTGTGTGTGTGTGTGTGTGTGTGTGTGTGTGTGTGTGTGTGTGTGTGTGTGTGTGTGTGTGTGTGTGTGTGTGTGTG